TCCTCATGCCCCTGGTGCTGCTCGTCAGCAGGCTCGGTGATGTCGGAGTCGGGGTTCGAGAAGGTAGGGGAGGGGGTGAGATCAGCCATGCGCTCGCTCATGCATGTGTTGAAAAGAGGAGAGCTGTTGCAGCCAGAGATATCTGAACTAAGGTTAGTACAACAAGATAGAAGACAGGTTAACACCAGCTGTTCCAAACAGAGAACAAGAATAGGAATTTTGCTTTTTTGGGGGGATCTTTTTTTTCTTTTCTCAGTTGGGTTTTGGGGTGGGTTTTTTTCTGCATAAACCAAGGGGTGTTGGGAAATAAAGACATGCCCATCTGGTGCATCTCTAAAGGAAGCCATCAATGGCCAGCGGCTATAAAGGGTGGAGAAAAGAGCAACCCAAGGAACTGGTACAAATGGTGGGAATTCCCCTCGCTGGCTTTGCAGGCAACACGGGGACAAGGCGGGTGGCATGAGGCTTGCCGTAGCCCCGCCACCGAAGGGAATCTCTCCGCGTGTTTTGGCACGTGGGGGGATGCCTCCGTGGCAGGCGCGGTTGGTTGGGCCATGCAGCTCAGCCCCCTGCCCACCAGGGCAGACCCCTTCTCCAGGGTGGCCCATCCTCATTGCCAGCACCGCATCCTTCCAACTGGCGTGCAGTAAGCACACAGAGACGCATGGCACATACTGTACAGACGGATGCTCGGACACCAACGCGTGCACATGGACGCGTGCCAGCCGAGGCATAGGTGCGACTGCACGGGCTCAGCATACTGGGCAGCCGCGGCCCCCTGCCTCCCATCGGTGGCAAGCCAGGAGCCCGTGCCTCACAGCTCAGTGTCACGGCAGGCAGCGGGAGGGTGGCCAGCAGCTCACAGGTCCCTCGGGGTCCCGGCAGCCAATGTGGAGGAGAACCATCACAGGCAAGATGGGCCCGACCAGCACTGGGGCGGGAATGCGTACTCCCATGGTGCGGCCCCGGGGAGACGAATGCCCTGTGCAAGGCAGAGCGGACGGCGCTTTCTCCTGCAGGGCTACCTGCAGGTCCCAGCCATGCTTAGAAGGAGCCGAAGCGCTCACCTGCCAACCAGCCTGAACCAGGGGAAGCGGTCATAGAAAGGATCTCCGCCAGTCACCACATTGTCGCAGTCCTCAATGACACTAGAAGGCACTTCGGCGGCACGGTCATACATTTCACGCATCAGGTCCAGGCGTTGCCTGCAGGCAGAGGGGAATGCAGCAGGCAGTGGTGAGAAACCGGGCCGAGGCTGGCTGGGCCCACCCTGGTGCGGGCATCATTCGCCCACCTCAGCTTCTCCAGGGTCCAGTAATGTGTCGCTCCGTTCTTCTGGTCCTGCACCTCTACAGCCACGATGGTCCGGGGGAACGGCCGCTTCTCCCGGTCTTTGGCAGCATCGGGAGGCAACAGGTCAGGAGGGAGAGGTGAGTACAGTGTGTCTGTGAGGAGCACAAACTGGAACTGGACCTGGAGAGGGGCAGAGTGGGATGGTGAGCCACCCAGGTGGACAGCAGGCTCCATGGGGTGCCTTCAGCAACCTCCTCCTCGGCACTTCCCTGGCCCACTCTTCTCTGCTGTGAATACTGCAGCAGGACAGAGAGGAGCCCCAGGCACCCACCTTCTTCTTCAGCTCCACACTGATGGCGTTGGCTTCCTTGAGAAAGATGGCATTGCCCCAGAGCAGGTCGCGGAGGGAGGTGAACTGGTACCATTTCCACTTCCTAAAGGCCCAGAGGGCCAGCTCGAACTCCCGCTCTGTCCACTGCACTGTGGGGACACAGAGAGACAGTCACCCCACTGCCAGGAGGGAGGACATGGGTGCAGAGGTGCCCAGGGGACCCATGGTCCACCCTTCTTGCTCCCACAGAGAACATCAAAGCCCTGTGGTGGCACCCAGCCCTCACCTTCATCCTCAGGTTCTTCTTCTTCTTCGTTTGCCTCAGGGTAATACCTCGAGTCCATCTGCTTCTGCAAAGCCTCCAGTTTGCTCTCATAGTCCTGGGGGAAGCAGGGAGAGGGATGATGCAGCCCACAGGGTGCGACCTTCCTCCATGCTGCCAAACAGCACTTCTCCCCTGCTGCAGCAACCCAGCCTCCTCCCTCCTCTTGATCCATGTTTATGGGGACAACCCCAAGAACAAGAGGTTTGCCCTTGCTTGTAGGACACAGACACCCCATACAAACACTTGCCAGGACTCTGCCATGCCTGGGCACCCTGAGAAGGAGCCAAATCCTGGCGACCTACCAGCCTCTGCTGCTCGAGAAGGTAATTTGCCTCCTCCCGCTCCCTCCGGTATTGGTCCTCCAGTTCCTGGAGCCTGCGAGGAATGGGGAAGGAGAGGATGACCAACCCAGAGGTGGATACCCATCTCTCCATGGCCCCAGCCCCTGTGCCCTCACCGCTGCTCCATCTCCTGCTTCATGTCAATGCCCTGCTTCTCCAGCAGCTCTCTTTGGGCAAAAGCCCAGTCCACGGGCTCAGCAGGTGTCTCAGCACACGGGGTCCGCTCCCGCTCCTGCCGAGCCTGCTCGGGGTGGTTGAAGCGGAAAACGTGGCTCTTCCCCATGATGATGCGATTTCCTACAGGAATGTACGTGGGGCGGGGGGAAAGGGCATGGGTTTGACATGGAACAACCTGCAGGGTCCCAGCGGGATGGAGGGACACAGGTTAGAGCAGCACTGGCGTGCCGACTCTGGGGCCAACCTGAGCGCAGGATGCTGGGCTCCGTCACCTTTTTGCCATTCACGTAGGTGTCGGCACCTTCACAAGGCTCCAGGGTCACTATTACTGCAGGGTCAGTGGGAGGGGGAGAGAGGGAGTAAAGGTAAGGTAGAGGCAGGGGGTAAACAGGGCATCCACCAGCAGCACCCCTGGGCAACCAATGGGACTCAGTCAGCCTCATGTTAATCAGAGCAGTCCCAAGGACTAAATGCAGCTGGAGACTGGACATGAGAGATCAGAGCCTCCAGCACACAGCTCCAGCCTCTCCAGGCTCATCTCCCAAAGCCCTTTCAACCCCAGGCTCCTGCTGGTTTTTGGGTTGATCTCTGCTCTGTGTCTTGGGTGGGGGAATTGTCTATGGTCTGCTCTTCCATCCTGCCCTCATCTCCCTGGCTTGCCTCTCCATGGCAGCTCCCATGTGTCTTGCACGAGATTCTCTCCCAGCTAGGTGAGGGCCGTAGCTCGCTCTGGAAGCGTGGAGAAGGCACAGCCACATAGGAGAGCCCCAGCCACACAGGAGAGCCCCGCTAGCCTGAGGAGGGCAGGACCCCACCTGGGGGCAGATGCTGGGGATGTGCAGAGGGACTGAGGTCCCCAGAGAGGTGGAGCCCCTCAAGACAAGGAATACCTTCACCACTGGTTTTGGTGTCACTGCGGAAAAGGCAGTGCTCTTCCTTAATGAAGTGCCCACTGAGAACGATGTCCTGCCTCTTCTCTGCATCTTCCCGGCCAACCCTGCCAAGAAAAAAACCCAGCTCAATACTTCCTCAGAGCAGTCATTCCCTGGGCCTCCCCCCAGAACCAGGAGACCAACACCCCCAACAAGATTGCCAGGCAAATACATTTTTCCCATACAGCTACGGCACTTTGGGGATGCCCAGAAACGGTGCCCAGCCTGGGGACAGATGTTACCCCACAGCCCCCCGGGGCGAGTCAGGCACTGAGATACAGGCTAGGCTCCCACTGCTCCACAGCACCTGACCCTCACCTTGTTATCCCATCCTTGATGTAGTAGAGAAGACACTCGGACATGAGTGGGTCCTCGTTCAGGTTGACCAAGTGGGGTGTCTGGGAGAGATGAACAAGAGTCACCCCAGCGTGCCCAGTCTACCCAGGTGCTAAGGTATGTTCCCAAGGGAAGTTGGAATGAAGCAGCACTTCTGCCCCCAGCATGTGGACAGGCTCTCCTGCCCTCTGTAGCTCCAGGACAACATGCCCAGGCAGATACTTTTCAAGGGGACTGCAGAGACCTGAGCAGCCAGGATGAGGATGACCTGCCTCTGCAGGCCCCCTTGCTCTCCTCCTCAAAGGGCTGAGCCCTGGGCACCCTTCCCCTGGCTGCCTTTGAAAATTCATAATGCAAACAGGCCCAACACAGAGCCAAACACTGCCCATGGGGAGTCCCTGATACAGCTTAGTGCCTCCTGGGGCAGGACCCTGCCTGCCTGTGCTGCCCGTTCATGGGCCCTCGCCTCACCATAGCCCCCAGCTCCACTGTGGACAGCGTAACTGGGGCAGAGCCATGTCCCATGCAGTGGCTGGTTCAGTATAGTGGAACTAGAAGTTCCTCCACTGATGATACAAGGACAGATGAAGCACCCAAAAGAGCAGGTCCCAGACCAGAGGTTCAACAAAAAGTAGTAGAGACCTGTAGCCATATCTCCAGGTTGAATTTTACTCTGGTCTCCTTCCTAACAGTTCCCTCCCATCATTTTCTTCCCCAAGGTCACAAACCACTTTGTTCTCCATGAGAGGGAAGTTTCTCCCCCAGCCTCAGGCCTCTCCAGCTGCAGCTATCTTAGCTCACTCCATCGCAAGCTGCCATGACTGGGTCTTCAGGCTATACGCAAAGTCGCGGGAGCATCAGTAGGTGAAGTTCTGAGTTTCCCACAAATAAAAGCAGAGACCATAACAACGTCTTATCAGCCCACACGCGGCATGCAGAGGTTTCCCCCTTACAACAGTGCTCTGACACCTGGCTGATAGGAGAGACTCACTCCAAATAGTGCAGGAGAGCGGGAGCTCAAGGGAAACACAGGTTCTTCTCCACGGTGGCTGGAAGGAATAAGCTGGCTATAGTATTTAACCTCAAGCCCTTCTAAGCAGACATGCAGCCGCCCCAGGATCTTAGACTTCAGCTTCCAGTTTTTCTCCAGGTTTGTGAGGCTGGATAGTAGAAGGCAGATGCTCTACCTTTCACTGAGCTTCCTGGAGATGTAACCACCCCAGTAATTGCATACAGCAGGACAACAGAGTTCTGCCCCTGCTTTGCCCTTAATGAAGTCGGGTTTTGCACACTAGCAATGCCAACTTTCCTTGCCAACCACTGGAGAAGTCAGAAGAAATTCCACCCATCAGATAGCTGAAGAGTAAGGAGGTACGAAAACCACCACAGCAATGCCCCACCTCCAAGACCAACCTGCTTTGGGGAATAAACCCCCACGCTTTCTACACAGAGGTCTGGGGTCCTAACAAGCAGCGGCTAAGAATGAGAAACAAAGATGACAATGTAGAAATCTGTCCTAAAAGCTGCACCAACTCACACAAGGAGAAGGTCCCAAAGCCTTCATCATCGATTGTCACCACCTCAGCTGGGGACACACACATCTACTAAGATGTTTGGCCAAGCCAGCCAGCATCAGCTGCTGGGGCAGCTGGTCAGCATCCCTCAGTGTGGCGGCAGAGCTGAGCCAGTACACCCTGGTCCTGCTGGCAGGCGCCTGCACCTCGCAGCCTGCCCTGCCCTGCAGGCTTCTGGGGGCTGGGGCTGTAAACTGAACATCACGGTTATACAGATGAGCGAGGGGCAGCAAGGTGCTGTAACTGCTGCTTGGCAGGGTTCGCTGGCACACACACTCTTTGAGGCATGGCCAGTGTTTGCTCAGAAAACACTGTCCAGGATGTTATAAGCAATAAAGAGTATGCAATATTTCTGCACCCCCGTTTCTCAGTGAGGGATTGCTGGTTTCAGAGGCAGTAATTCCAAATACCCCAAAGCATGGATTTTCATAAGCTGACACTGAAGTCCAACACAGCAGTTGTCAGCAAAGCCTGACCCGAATGGGACAGCATCTAGGCAACGGGGGCTGGACATTTAGCCATGTGTTTCTACCAATGTTCGTACCCAGCAGGGTCAACACTGGGATTTTCCCTGAGGGTTTCAGAGACAAGAAAATGCTAGTGAAATATTTGGGGCTGGCTGGCAGTGACAGAACAGGTCAGAAGGGAGCTGCAGGGGTACAGACCATCCCTCGTTTGCCAGGAAGAAGAGAATAAGATGATCCTACCTTTTTAGGAGAGAAAACACCCAAGGTGCCTCCATCCTCCCTCATGGCCACCCCCATTTCAGCCAGCAACGCTTCCCTGAGAAGCAAGAGAAAGAAGAGCCTGTCAAAGCCCCACGAGCCATTGGAGCTGGCACTAGACAAGCCCAGGAGCAGACCCAAGCCCATGGGTTTGTCCCACAGATCAAAGCTGTAAGACTTCTTCAGCTCTCTCCATGCCTGAGGAGGGTTTCTCAGAGCAGACCATGTCCATGAAGGATAACATGGTGGGCACTGGGGTGCCTTGGGGATGGTCAAATTGCCCAGCTGCCCCCAGGAGCTGAACTGCTGTAGGCAAAGTGCAGAGGAAGGGAGATGCCTGGGGAACCCCACACTGTCCAAACCCATCCCATCCCACCCACCTCTCCATTCGGATTGCTTCTGTCCTCCGCAGCTTCTCCTCCCACGTCTCATTCAGCTCTGCAATGATCTTCTCTGTTTCCTGGCAAGTGTGGGGTTAGTGAAGGGGGTTAGCATGTCCTACGGGCAGCAGATCTGCCCACTCTGCCAGGCACTGCCCAGCATGCTGCAGCAGGACACTGGTCTCAGTTTCAGGCTGGTTTAAATGAGCCGTAGTGGTATTTCACCCACATCTTTCCATCATCCCTGTCTTCAAAGAGCAGGACATGAAGACCAGCCTCTCCAACCCCTTGCTGCCAGCCCACTCCTGCACCATGCTGAGCCAGGAGTGCCTGTCCTGCAGGCAAAGGCAGCATCACCCCGCAGAGAGGACAGCATCACCAGATACTCTGCCATGGCAAACCCTCCCCTGGTCGGCAGTCCAGAACCCTGGGAGCTCTGGGTCCATCCACTCTGCAAGAACTTGCCTGAGCATTGCATCCTATGAGCATCACCCATGGGTTTCCAGAAAATACCAAACCTCCTCCACAAGCCTCAGTGCAAGAGCACTGAGCTAAGCCCTCTTTCCTGCCAGGCACCGGCCTCTCACCTTGAGCCTTTCAATCGCCTCTTCGCTGCCTGGAGCAAACATGATGCGCTCATGGAGGCTGGCAACGGAGGCAGCACGACTGGACAAGGCCGACAGGGAGGAAGAGGGGCTGATCCCAGCGATGGCGTTGGTCACTGTGGAGAGATTGTCATGGCGGTGACTCAGCTCTGCCCCTCTAGCATCATTATTGTTCTCAAAGTCGGACACATCTATGGGTGGGGAAGGAGGGGTGGGCCAGGGAAAGACACACGGACAGGAAGAGAAAGATAGAGACAAGAAAAGCTGTTGGGAAAAAAAAAAAAAAAAGAGCAGCTGGATGCATCAAGAAGAAAGCCAGGAATTACAAGAAGGCACAGGCGCAGGCAGCAGCAGGGCAAGGGCACACACATCTCCCCCAGCCCAGGCAGCCTGCCAGGAGCACGGGGCTGTTTTCATAATCAGCTGCGGGAACAGCTCTGGAGCCTTCCTGGGCTCCCAGGGATGCTTTTTTGATGCACCAGATCCTGCAGCCATCAGGCCTGGGATCAGCTGTCCTCCCCAAGAGTGTGCCACTGTCATCCACCAACACAGCCCAGGTGCTTTTCCCGGCCCAACTGCCCCAGATTAGCTGGATCTGTGGGCAGAGAATGAGAAGAGAAGGGGAGGTGAGGTGGTGGGCCTCTGCCCTGCAAAGGGGCCGGGGAGCTGGAGCAGGAGGAGCCGTGGGATCCCCTCACTGGCAGAGCCTGAGCCCCTGGCCCGCTGGAGCAGCACCTTGGCTGGGCAGGCAAAGAGAGCAAAGTGAGGGCAGGGTCACAACATGCCCATTGCAGGCAGCAGCGCTTGCCTGCTGGCACCTCAAGCGTCACCTGCCACTGGACCCCATGGCAAAGGGACCCATCCAGGTATTGGAGATGCTCCTCCAGCCCCAAGAAGGCTCAGCACACTGTGGCAGAGACGGGCAGGGCACAGGTTAGTATCTGCAGCGTTAGTCACCTATCTCCATCAGCCCGCATCCAGGGGAGCCAAGCCAGCGGGGGATGGGCCAGGCCCCCCATCTCCTCAGCGGGCTTGCCACAGCCTGGCTGCACCACCTGGCCCAGCGAGGGATGAGCCAATAGAACTTATCTGCAGGCAAAGACCTCCGGGCCATCACCACACACCGCTGCATCAGGAGAGCCCCATGCCAGCCCACCCAAGCACCGTGCTGGTCTCCAGTCCCAACGACCCCCAGCACCAACAGAAGCAGCAGCAGCAGCGAGAGGAAACATTGTGACAGCATGGAAGAAGGAGTCCCTGTGGGGATCTGGCCCTTGGCACAGCGGAGGAGAAGGACGTGGGTCCCTCCAAGTGCTATCCCGAGCCCAGGTGCTAACCATGACTCTGCCACCATCCCCTTTACCAGAGCCCTGGGGATGGCCAGCCTGTGGGCAAGTGCCTCTTCACCAGCCGAGGCTGGTTACAGGAGCCCTTCCCCATGCTGCACAGGTGCCCCTGGGCACAGCCTACACCTCCCAAAAGCCGTGAAGCAACAGAGAGTACCAGTGATGGGGAATACACACATTTGGATCCTCCCGCAGCAGGATGGGCTAAGAGAGAGAGAGAGGGCAGGAAGCAGGGGTAAGACGGTGAGAACAGAACTAGAGTGGGTTCACCTCAGTAGGATATCTGACAGCACACAGAGGAAAGCCCACAGGCAGGCACAGCCCTGGGAATATCTTCCTGGCACCCCTGCTGGGCATGGGATGCTGAAGACAGGAGGTGGAGGGGGAGCTCTGCCAACGTAAAGCAGCTCCTCCTGCTTACGGGAGTGGGCTGGGGGTTGTGAATGCGCGCAGAGGGTATCACCAGAGGTGTCCGGACCTCGCTCGGGCAGCATGATGCTGCCACGCAGCCGGCAGACCAGGACACAGGGCAGCCATGGGGACACCAGCCCCGCAGGCAAGGGGATTCAGTCCGCCTCTGCCTGGAGCCACTGCCAGCGCACACTGGGCGGTACCTACTGTCAATGATGTCCCCGAGGCCCTGGGCGTAGAGAAGGTCACGCAGACGTGCCACCTCATCCTTCAGCTCCCGGATGAGCTTGTTGTTGGGGTCCTCGTTGATGACAGCATTGCAGCGGATCTGCTTGGCACGGTCGGCATACCTAGGGAAGGGCAGAGCCCTGAGCAGTGGCAGCGGGGGCAAACCCACAGCTGCTGGGCAAGCAGGAGTGCAGCAAACAGTCCTTTGGAGGATCCCAGTGCCAGGACAATCCTTTGGCCTCATCTGACGTTGCAGGGTCCCCCCACAGCACGCCCCCAGCCAGAGTTGCTACAGAGGTGAGCAGAGCACATGGCAGTGCCTGGGTTTCAGGGACTCCTCCCTCCTTGCCTGCCATGTGGGTACACACTTCTTCCTACCTGAGGGTGCTGAGGGTCTCATCGTAGTTGATGTCAGCAGGACTGAGAGCAGCAACCATGGCTGTCCTGGAGTTGCCCCCTGCTCAGAGAGATAGATACACCCACATCAGGCAGATGCTGGTTCCCATGCCAGCCATCATCCTCCACTTGGCAGCCGTGCCCACCGCCAAGCCTGCACTTCCCACCCGTGTCCTCACCCAGGTTCTCCCGCAGCAGCCAGGTCAGCACTGAGTCCCGGTAGGGGATGAAATCTGTCTTCTTTTTCTTTTTGTTCTGAAGGATGGAGAGCAGAAGGAAGGGCTGTCAGGCTGCCTGCTCTCTTCAAAGGAAAGGTAACAGCTGGTCCTCAGCTACTGGGACTCAGAGGACGGCTTTGATCCACCACCATGACCTCGGGCAGCTCTGCTCAGCTGCACAGGTCCTGCCTGTGAAATGCCATGCCTGGGCTGGGCCAGGTGTTTAAAGCCAGGTCCTGAGAGCCACAGGGTGAGGAGAGTGATCAGGATGCTGAGGGCTCTGCCAGCCCTCAGGAGAAGCATGGTGTGGGTCCAGGCAGAGACTCAGACCCAAACCACCCTGCCACCCACTCCCAGCTGACTGTGCTAAAAACCAACCCCCTCTTCCCCAGCCCATCCAGGGCACCTACCTTGTTTGGCCCAGAATCCTGCAAAAAAAAAGCAGAAAGAATGTTTAAGTGAGCTGCTCCCCTCCACGGCACCCACTACAGCTCCCCGTCCCCCAGGCAGAGAGCAGCAGGTACAAGTCCCCACAGAGACATCAGCTTCACCAGCCCAGTTTATCCCAGCTGCAGGGACAGCTCAGCATGTATCTGCTCCTCCTTCAGAGCCAGAATGCTCTAGGCCTCAGAGGTGAGCACACTGCCCCACGGTGCTGCCACTAGTCTATACCCCGGCCACCTACCATTTCAGCCAAGGCAGAGATGACTTTCCCCAGAGTGGTCAAGGACTTGTTGATGTTTGCTCCTTCCTGGTGGAGAGAGGAAAAGCCGAGATGCTCAGGCCCAATTTCAGAGCAGCACTAAAGCCCAGTGCACCAGGAGATGGGAAGTCCCAGTATGGGGTGGGCAGTCCCACTACGGGCTGGTCTTACTGGGTAACCAGACCTCCCAACTGGGACTCGCAGACCTCGGTGGAACTGGCACTGGGCAGCTTTCAAACAAAACCCCGCCAAAGATTTTGGGCAAGGAACCAGGCAAAGAAAGGAGATGTCACAGCTGGGAATTAGAGGGCAGGATGTGGCATCCCTGCTGGTAGAAGGGGACCTCATGACAGCTCTCACCTTTAGTCTTGTACCCTTTGCACCAGTGGAGTCAGCTCGTTCGCTCCCTGCCAGGTCCACCAAGCTGATTTTGCTGACCTGCAGGCAGAGACAAGACTGTCGGCCCCAACAGACACAGGAAACAGGGCCCTGGCACAGAGACAAGGAGGGAGCAAGACCTCTTGCAAGATGACACTGCTCTGAAGTCAGAGATGGGCTCTGTGGGGTTATCCTTGTCAGGATGTGGCCAGGAGCCAGGCTAGCACCCTTGCAGGCAGGGCTGCAGGGTACCAGCTGCCTAATATCCTGTCCAGGAGCCAGTCCCTCGAGGGACCATGAGCCCAAATGGGATTTATCTCCATCCCGTTTCAACCCTCCCTCATGCCGCACCACCTCGTCCCAAGTGCTGCTGATAGCACATGAAGCCCTTCCCAGGTCCATGCAGGTTCCCCTGCGTCCTCCAGGCTCTACTCTCACCTTCTCAGTGGTGATGTCCGTCTCAGCGTCATGTCTCTTCTGTGTGAAGATAATGTTGAACACAGCGTGGGAGCGGCTGCTGGTCTCATTCATGTTGGTGGCAGCCACTGTGCTGCAGGGAGAGGAGGACAGGAAGGTGTGACACTCTGCAGGGGACTCTGGAGCTGCTGGCAACAGGGCCAGGGCTCATTTCAGGACAGGGTACATGATGGAAAGGCAAGTCTGAAGGACAGGAGAGGACTCTGGGAGGAGATGTGCAAAAGTCCAGGCTTTCTCCTGCTGGCACCAGGGCGTTTTGAGAGCAGGAAGGAGGTAAGGTGAAAATACGTGGAGGGAGAGGGGTACCCAATGCTCAGACTGAAGGGAACCGCCACCTCCAGAGAAGTCAGACTGGCAAAGCAAGGAGGGTAAACTGAACCTTCTGGAGATATCTGCAAGCTCTCCCAATCTTGCCCATCTCCTGCTTCCCCAACTCACCGGGCCTTGTTCCCAGAGTCCATGAGGTCCTGGATGTCATTGTAGGAGGTCACGGCCAGCTTGGAAAGATCCTCAACATATGGGCCCATAAGGGGGTGCTCCCTCACCCGCAGGTTCCCCTTGTTCTTGGGGTTCAGGAGGTCCCTCACACGCTCACAGTATATCTCCATGTAGCTCACCTAGAGCAGAGAGCATGGGCAGGGCTAGCAGCCAGCAGGGTGTGGATGCTCAGCACATAGGCAGAATCAGGCCCTGCCCACCC